AATGAGGCAGAGAAGATTGGATGATAGGAACAGCTATTTTGGAGAAAATGACATCTTAATAGGTAATACTGATTTAGTATCATCTTGTTTTGAAGTCTCATCTAGCTTTTGTCCTTCTGTCTCCAATAGTCTAAATAGGTTGTATCTTACTGGATTTTATTATGTACGATAGTATAAGCAAAAACCTTTTAAAGACAAGGAGATTATCCAGAAACCATTATTCATTTTCTGTTAGTCGATTCTAAATACTCTGTAATGCTGTCATTCTCTTAAATGGTTTTACATTGTTTTGATATACTTAATGCTACAGTATATGAAGTTGTACTCAAGGATTTCAAGGAAAGAGACAATATGGTAACTACTTTTAGGTCAGGATTATCTGGAGGTGAAACGCTATTCTGCTTAAATGGTTATGTTTTGATCTGTGCTGTTTCGTTTGTTATGCCCTCTTTTATCTCAATCTCCATTCCATTATTTACTTTTTTAATACTTTTTTTAAATTTTTATCCTTTTAATTAAAGGAAAAAAAATACCAGGATATATTATAGTAACCCACTTTGACTTTCCATTACCTCGATTTAAAGCCCTGTATTACTCTCACCATCTGGTTTTTAACTGATGTTCCCCTATTCTGTTTTGCTGGATAGTATCAGGTTCGAAAATTTAGGCATCAGCTGTGAAGATAATGAGATTCATTATAACGCCCATTCTCGTTGACTTTTATCTACTTTTGAAGACCTACAATGTCTCCAATGGTTTGGCTTTGTCGGTTTTGTTCTTTACTGTTTTGTTCAATTGTATTATAACTAATGGTATAGGCAATTCTATTAGAGATAGCGGGAGGCATTATGGTAACCATTGTTGATCACCTTGTATTATGTTTTCACATTATCTATTATGTCCACCCTTTTGACTTGACCGATTCTGTTCTGTTATGTCACATTTGGTTTTACTCTCTTCCAAAAAAGTAATAAGAACCGTGAGAGCAATGAAACCCAAAATGTGTAATAGTCATTGTACAAAAGAGAGGAAAAGAAAGTGCTCTAAACTATATAACTGCATGTATATTTAAGTGTATAAGATAGAATATGATATCACAGAGTTTTATTGGATCATTGAACAGAACTGTTTGCAGTATCATTGTTGGAATGTCCACTTTACAAGCTTTAATTTTGTGACTTGAACAATTATTTCTAAGATGACAGTATGTAATCCATTAACTAGTGATTTCCTACTGTTCATTTTTTTTTCTGCAAATCTGTATAACTTGTACCCTTTCTCTGCTTTTTTTTCTTTTCTCCTTAAATAAAATTTTAAAATAAAAAAAATAAAAATAAAAAAAAACTGTGGTGGTTCATATTGTGTTCTCCAACCAGATCATAATTTCACAGCCCATTATATAAAAATTTTGAGAATGCCACTGAAAAGCTACCATTTTGTGTTTACTTTCTGATGATCACAATTACAGCAGATGATATTCAGTCACCATGTATCATTCCATTTCTTGTATCATATGTGCCAGACCATCCTCTATGACTGCAGAACTATTTCAATTATTTTTTTTCTTCTACCAATTCTCAATTTATTTGGTTATTTCTGCAGTTGGGGGAGGGGATGGGAAGTAGAAAAAAACATTATCACAGCTGTTTAGTTACACAAGAAACAGTGTTCTATTTGATTGACCAAACAGCCTTCTCTACAAAATGTTATTTCTGGACGCCTCAGCCTCTCACCTGGGACACGGCGCACGTTCATGCAGGTGGCCTGGGGACTCGGGATCGCCGTCCACCTGGCGGGATCAGGTGGCCCCCAGTGTGGTGACGCGGGTGACACAGTGGGCGGACGACCACTTGCACCTCCTCCAGCGCATCAGCACTGGGTGGGCCATAACCGGAATAATGTGATTTCTAAAAAGCATTCGACTGACATCAAAATTTACAAGATCTTCAGATATTCCAACAGAATTACTAAGGATGTTAAATTATGTGGACGAGTACACTGAATAACAGAATGGTTTAGAAATCGAACATATTCCCATTACCTTACCCATTATATCTTCATGGAGGAAAAAAAGCCTTGCAGTGTTTTGCTGGTTAAACTGGCTGCAGTAGAAACTGAACATGGAAAGACATGCTTACAAAAGGAGCTCAGAGTTTCCCAACAGCTATGGTTCCAGCTTTTTGGAAAGGGGAATTCAGCACTCTTTTGCTACCTTTTAGCGAATAAGGGTGGATATGTTAGAGTGAATCTAAATGAAGAAATTTTGCAAGGGGCCTGAGTACAACTATAAAACATGGAAAGACAGCATGAGTAACTAGTCCTTAATACTGAAATCCAGAGAATTTATGAGTGTCTTATATTTTCATAAGAAAGGGTGATCAATCCAAGAAGTCTAGAAGTGACTCTGTGGGAAAAATAAAACATGTGAACGTGGAAAAAAATGTTATTTGTGTAACCTCAGTTAAGTGTGGAAACATGAATTGACATGTATTGGGAGTACATGGAAAATATATTTATGTATTAGTCTCAGTAATAAGCATACATATACTGTATTATTTTTACTAAGCTAAATCATTGCAAATAACAAAATAACATAATATAAGCACTAATTTAAATGGATTTTTGTTATTACCAGACCCTTTACTTTTGGGTCAATTATCATGTGGTCAATAAATGTATATTTGGAACTTGTGTTTTCATTATTCTCAAAAGTCACTATGGATGTGAGAGGGTGATCTGGCTGTGACATCTGTCACCCACTGATCACCAAGGTTGACTGGGCTGATTTGGCTGGCTATGGCGTTGCCCCCTTCCTCCCTCACCACTCCTTGTGCATCCCTCTCAAAACTGTCCCTGGGTCAGAAAGGACAAACACCCTGATAGAGGAGGACCATTTCCTCGATCAATGGTATATAAGTAATCACCCTGCTAGAACCTCCAAACAAGTTCTCAAAAGGTACTATATGTCTCACACCTTTGGATAATGCTCATCTATCTCACTACTCTTATAGGCATTGTTTCAGAAACCATCCAGCAATTTCTAATTTCCTCACCACCACTGGATCTCTCTTAAGACCACCAGCTCCTCGGCATCTCTACTTCTGCCTCCCACTAGCAGAGCTCTTTACTCCCTGTTTCCAAATCACACGGTAGACTTAGAAGTGGCATTGCTAGCACAACAGCTAGCAGTAGTTTTTTGTTCCAACTGGATCAATCAAACTGCCCTATCAGCAAACCTAAACAAAAAGAGGGAAATATATGTTAAAATCATTAAAAAGATTAGAGGACAACGGAAGGCAAGAGTTAACAGAATTTCTCCCCAGATCAATACTATCAAACTGGTCAATCTTAGGGACTTGTTCTTTCTGTGATAATTGGGAACCTAGGGAATAAGAAAGACACAGCCTGCACTTTGCAGGACTATCCCACCTCAGCTGCAATCCAGATAATAAGAAGCTGCTTGAGCCCAGAGTTATGCTTACACAGATTCACAGCAGCAGCACCAATGCCTCACATCCGGCCATCTCTCTCCCAACTCAGCTATGTATCTGAATGGCAAAACCTAAAGCACCTCTGAACGTCTTGCATCAGGGTTTTAAGGGAAATACAGACTTTCACTTTCATTGTATTCTTTCACTTTTTAGCCTCTGACATCAAGGCAGGTACCCCAGAAAAGGCTGATTTCTGAGCAGACCTGTGAGAATCTTAGCAGGTATAAAAAAGCCTATGTCTCTCAAAAGTTACGTATTGAAAACTCACCTCCACAGTGACGGTACGGAGAGGTGGGGTCTTTGGTAGATGATTAAGTTATGAGGACTCTGCTTTTATGAATGGGAATAGCACCTTTCTGGGTTTTGTTTTTGTTGTTTCTTTCTGTTTTGTTGTTTTTTGCCATCCTGAAGATTGTTTCTTCCTGTTTTGTTTTTTGCATTCTACCACTGAATGATGCCTTCAGCCCTCTTGAGTCAGGATCGCACTAAGTTGCGCAGACTGGCCTCAAAACTGCAATTCTTCTGGCTCAGGCTGCTACGTGGCTGGCACTATAGGTATGAACCAGGCACATCTTTGAGGGAGCTAGAGAGAGCTGGAGAGAGCTTGTGTGCCTCCATCACCATTTGAAAACACAAAAACAGCACCATCTATGAGGAAAGGTCCCTTAGAAAATGCTAAATTTGCTAGTGTCTTGATCTTAAACTTCCTACCCTTAAGAACTGTGAGCAAGAAATATCTATTATTTATAAATTATCCAGCTTAGTGCATTGCTGTATTTGGCACAGCTCTGGAAAACTCCTGGTGGGGAGGACCGTGAAGAAATAAAAGCAAGACCAAAAATGCAGAAAGTTGAAGTCAAGTGGAGTTCTCTCTCTTGGTGGAGGGAAGGGCCACCCATGTACTACAGCATGTTTATATACTCAGCAGGTTGATGTCAGGTGACACCCAGCTGCCTAACAATTTGTTTGCCTAGCTCACCCAGGACACTTGGTGTTCTTGGGGCTGGATCAGCTTGTCCATGTGGCTTGCTCCAAGCACCCCATGTTCTCAGGGCTGCCCTCGCCCTGCACATGTAGCTTCAACCATTCTTGACATAGCCCTCTTTTTTGTTACGGTTTTTGTTGTTGCAATGGGTGGTCAGTTGCGTTGGAGGAGTTGTGTTTGGAGAACACTGCAGAAGATCTTCTCCTTCTTGATCCCTTTCTATTCTAAGCTTACTAATTTAAGCTAATGATTCCCAGGCCAAGGATGTCAGGTCCCAGAATTTGCCAATTTAACTCTATACAGCCTATTAACAGATACCATTAGTCAATTAGCAGTGTAGCTGGAAATCATCAGAATGTGTTAGTGACTTAAGTTTATTTTATAGCTATCATATTACTATGGCACTGTTTTGTATAAAACAATGTGGTTATACTTTTTGCTAGATATTCAAGACCAAGTTAAGGTGAGAACTGTATTAACTTTTTGCTATCTATCAAAGTCAGTTAAGTCTTGTCAAGATTTACCTTGGAACCATGTACAGCATCTCTTAGATCTGTCAGTGTCAGCCATCAAGATGAGTCACAGCCATTGCTTGCAAAGTTGCTTTCTATGAAAGCTTGGGAGACTTTTCTCTCCTGCTGACTTTCCTTAGGCACACCATATAACACAGATGTCCTTCCCCTGTGAACTAACAATTGCCTTAATTTAAAAACTGGGGACTCACTAAGTTACAGGATGTCACAGTAGAAGTTTTCTTATATCCTCGGTCTTCGATGACCTCAGAGGGCTGGGGCCAAAATATTGGCTGTCCTCCTAGCCCATCTATTTTTATAGTTTTTGATCTCCAAACCTCAGTTGCTGAACATCCAAAAGAGATGGTTAATGACATTACAATGTAACGTAGTGAACCTAATATTGTAAATTTATCTGAATATTAAGCACCTTGAAATACATGGAGGACCATCATTTCCTGTCAACCATGGATGTTCGAGTAGCTGATCCTAGTAGAATATTAACAGACAACAGTTGTACAGAAACAGTCATACAAGTTACATAGAAAATTTGAAATCAAAAGCCATACGTAATATTGTAACATGACAATCATGGTGACATTTTATAACACATTTAATTTTCTACCCTCTTGTGTGCCAGCAGCTATAAGGCCAGCTGGGAGGGAGTGACCCAAAGGCAACAGTACCCTCTCTCATGTGTCCAGCAACAGCCTGAGCCAACAGAGAAGATATCCCATCCTCCCCACCACGCCCTCCCTGCCCCGGCTGAAAGCAGACTAAGATGACAGCAATTGAAGTAAAGAAAACTTAATAGTTGTATTATTTGATTGACTTTGCAGACCTAAAGCTGGTAATCTGAGGCTCTATTTAGAAGATAACAATATACAATATAGTAATTATTGTGGATTTCCTATTGTCTTGTTTTTGCCAATATCATTCTCGTTTTTTGGTTTTGTTTTTAATTTTTTTATTTTAAAGACAGTAAAGCCCAACAAAACAGAACAAAGCCATCAAAACAAAGCAGCAAACTTGGTACATAACACCAAAGCAGGATAAAAAGAAAACAACAATAGTTACCAGACTATATCTTGTTATCTTAACAATAGTTGTCCATTCCATCAGGCTTAGAAAAATCAAAACTAGAATAAAACCAATCAAAACAGAATATTGAATAAAGCAAAACAATCATAAGAAAGCAAAACAATGAGAACAATATTGGGTTTCAAAGACAAGACATACCGTCATCCTCCCAAGAGATGCTCAGACTGCAGGCCCCAGGCCTGCAAAATCAACCAAACAATACAGGCATTTAGTTTCTTTATGGACTTTAATTGCTATCAACTCAGCTGTCCTCCAAACCAGCAGGATGCTTACTGGGCAGTGAGGGAGGCTGATGGGAGGGGCTGATTTTTCTCTTCCTGGAAGCCACATGGCTTACCAGAATGGCTGGCTGGTTGGCTTTTTATTGTTTCTCCCTGTGCTGGCATCTGTTTTGTTTTGTTTTGCTCCCTTGTTTTGTTTTATTCCCTTCAAAATAAATAAATAAATTTTTTCCATTTTAATATAATCAATATTGATTGAGTAATCTGTACTCAATCTAGAGCAGTGCAGAATATCAGAGAGGAGGCAAGTAGATAAAAAAAAAGTTTAATGAGGGGGCACAGAGGGAGTTACCATAAGGAATGTTGTGGCAGCTGTCCTGCAGAACAAGGGCAGGCTCTGCCTGATACAGCCTCTGCTAGGGGAAAGCGCTCTGGAAACTGATGTGAGCTGATTTATTTTGTGACAGTACAGGAGATAGGTAAACCTTTAAAGGCCTGAGCTTTGGCATAGACTTTTGGGAGGGAGAAGCCATAGGGGCTCCCAGGAAGAAGGAGGTGTGCATTATCAGGGCACAGTTTTGAAACACTGCCATGATGGTTGTGCTGTCTCTCAGATGGTGAACCTAACATCCCCATCTCTTTGGTGTTAGGGTGACCATGGAGTCTCTCTGGCTGATTCCTGTGGAGAGGGGGTGTTGCTAGGGGACTGGGGTAGAAGACAACGGGATTGAGGGACTCATTCTGTCTGAGTCTGTGAGGTCAAGATGTCGCTCAGTAGTAGGACTTCTTTGGTAGTGAACGCCTGTATTTTGGCTTGGATAAACCACAAGAGGAACCTGAAGACATGGAGATAAAAAGCAAAAAATTATTATAGTAATTAGGGGACCCATAATGGCCTTAAGTGATGAACAGGAGGTAGATTTTGAAAAATGGTGTCTGCTTTAAATATCAGTTGCCAATTTTTTTGAGTTTTGTACCTGGTCTTTTACTATTTACTATAAAATACCAGCATTCTTCTCCCAACATGGCATAGCATCCTCTTTTTTCTGCTGTGAGAATACTGAGTGCCCTTCCTTGTTGGAGAAATACCATGGCCAGTGAGTTTATTTGCTCTTGGGAGTAAATTAATATTTTGGGGGACTGATTTTAGGGTAGACATAGCTAGCAGCTAGAGTCTGAGATATTTAAAGCATGTAAAAGTTGAAAAGTGTTGTTTAAAAGTTGAGGAATGGAGAAGGTGTTAAGAGTTGAGATGTGAGGACCCATGTAATGGAGAGCAACTGTTTGTAAAGAGTTATAGGGTTAGAGGCAGACGTGACATTGACTGTGAGAAAGTAGTGGAAAGGTTTTGGATTTTTTATGTGAATATGTAAGACCTCTGTCTAGAATATACATGTGGTAGTTATGTTTATGTAGATGTAGTCATCATGGCAGAGGTAAAATTGAGGAGCATAGGTTGTTCATTATGGTAACCTTTAATAGTGAACACACTCCAAGGGAAATCAAATATTAGAGGTCCTAAAGTCAAATTGGCTTGAGCAACAGTTGTGTGGGAAGGACCCACTATTCCCCCATGTTTAGTGAGGTAGAGTTGTATTTCAGGGTGTCTGAGTGTTTAGGTTTAGGTGAAAGGATAGATTGAGGTAGAGGAAGAAGCCTATCATGTTGACTAAGCAATTGAGGAATGTAAACAGTAAGATTATTAATACAAAGAGTGTGATAACTGTAAGCCTTTGGAGAATAGTGTATTCTTTTGGAGTAGAGTGCCTGTGAGGAAGAGAAGTATAGAGCCATATATAGGCCAAAACCAGGTAAGGTACCAGAGCATTAGTGTTCGAGTTGTGCTAATCTGAGATGGGCAGGAGCTATTGGATGGGAGGTCCATTAAGTCCCTTTAATGTGTTCAGGATCAAGATTACCAGGCAGCTGATGATATCTCTTCATCTGGGTGATGTGAAACCAGCATGGGAATCTCTCTACCTTTACCAAGTTTCGAGTCACAAGGTATACCAGGTGAGGTTTAAGAATTTTAACATAGATTAAGTCTCCTAGAGATAAAGGAGGATATGATGTGTGTCTCTTGAAGGTTTAAGGGAGCCAAGGATCTGCATATTGTTGAACAAGGTGTCAGAGAAATGAGAGAAAAGGAATGTAGTCAGCTAGGGAGGAAGATTAGAAGGTGAAGGCAAGTTTTATAAGAAAATGGTCTAGTATACATAAGCTCAAAGAGGCTTAACTGAGTAGGTGATCTAGGGAGACTCAGAGTTTTGTAGGAGCTAAAGGTAGGAATAGAGAGAGGAGAATCATGTATATGTGGCAAGGAAGTATGAGTTAATTGGAGAACATCTGTGCAGTCATGTGGAGGACTTATCTCTGTATCAGTTGTAGGAGTGGGAAATAGGGTAGCTGGATTGAGGGTACTGCTCATTGAGATTGTGACAGTGGGTTGTTGGCAAAGATGGCGGATAGATAACAGCTGACTACAGAGGCTCCCTGAGATAGTCAACTTAGAATTCAACATAATACAGAGTGGGGAGCCCCAAACAGAGGGAGATGAATTCTCTCATCCCAAGAAGAAATTAAGGTGAGAAGAACCAATCAAACATATAGTCCCGGTGCTATTATTGGAACAGCTAAAGGTTCAGTGTTCCCACTGCTGTGGGCAACTTGCTGACCATCCGAGGCCCTGCCACGACTTGCCAAGGTCTCACCACAACTTGCCAAGCCATCGGAGGTCCTGCTGCTTTGACACACTGGAGGCGCAGTTACATTGAGTTCGGGGGTCAGCAAGCCAAATGGAGAGCTGGGTTGGCAGAGTGCCTACATCAACCTGTGGTGAGTGATGGGAGTGGAGCCATTCCATAAATAGGGGGGCTCTGGCGAACGACATCCTGGGACTGGACAGGACTGGCAAGTACAAGGGGTAGCAGTGACTTCAGTCAGTTGTTCCCTTCCCAAACTGGATTGGTGAAGTGAGCTAGGCCTGGGTCACATGACCTGGCTGAGACCCAATAGGTTACCTGAAATCAATTCCCTACAGCAGTGGAGGTGGCGCACACTAACCACACTAAGGCAATAAAGCCTCAGAAGTTTGACTGATCTGGAGGTGAGGCAGCACATAGTAATACAGTGCAGGCCACAGCAGCCTGACTGATCTGGAGGGGAGGGGCCAGTATACACTGTGCCTGTGTGCAACTCACTAGCACAAGGCAGTGGGAAGGGTCATCTAGTCAGCGCATTTCAGAAGAATTGTAACGAACAAAGAAAGAAACAGGGGCCTCCTGGAAGAAGCAAAAAAGATGGGAAGAAGAAACAACAACAAAAAGTCCCCAGGTCCCAATCCTGAGGACACTGACCCACGACAGATAAATACAAAGGAGAATGAGAACAGCAAACATACAATATCAGACATGGCGCCAGTGGACATAAAGAGATAAATTCAGACCTCATAGATGAGTTCAAAAGTGAAATATTTAGCCAAGTAAAGCAAGATATAAGAAGATTAATATAAGAGATACTAAGCACCCCTCAAGCAGACACAGATGGAAGAAGGGAGGAACTCAAACAAAGGAGAGAACCATTTGATGAAGAATATAAAGAAAATATAGAATACATGAAGCAGATTCAAAGAGATTACCAGGAAATAAAAACTCTATGGACAGATTGCAGATGAACTTGAAAGAAACTAAGGATAGATTATCCAAACTGGAGAACAACTTTGCAATGTGGAATTATGAAAGGGAAAACTTTTTAAAAATAACAAGGAGACAAGCAGTAACAATACAAAAGCTAGAAGACGACGTGAAGATCTATAACTTGAGAATAAAGAATGTGAATGAAGAAGCAGGAGTACAAACAAAGGAACTACAAAGGTTATTCAAAGAAATAATTAAGGAGGACTTCCGGGAGAACATGGCAGACAGATAACAGATGCTACGGAGGCTCTCTGAAAGACTCGGCTCAGAAGCCAGGAATGGTGCGGACTAAGGAGACATAAGCAGGTAGAGATATGCTCTGCTGACTCAGGAACGAACTGGGCTGAGAGAAACCAACTTGGAATGCAGTCCTGGTGCTAAAGCAGGAACAGAAAAGCCTCAGTGTGGAGGCTGGACCCCGCGCCATTGGAAGCCGCGATTTGGGTTTCCCGCTGCGCGGCCAGCAACTGCCTCTACAGCGGCTCCGCAAGGAGAGAGACGCGCAGAAGCTCTGAGAACAGGAGTCTGCGAACGGAGTCGAAAACAGGACGGGCAGGGAGGTGTGCACAGACTTGTGGTGAGGTGAGTGAGAGAAACTGACACTCCACCACAGTTTGACTCCAGCGGAGGACTTTCTGGGCTCGGGCAGTCCTGTAAGAGCAGGGCGCGGTGGCGACTCCAGCCACACATGCCCCTCTCGGGCGGGACTGGTGAAAAGTGCCTGGCCTGCGGGACCCTGCTGACGGACTCGATAGGCTGGCCCAACCCAGATCCCAGAGCCTGACGGTGGCCCGGAGGGGCGACCCCCGCATAGGCTGCCTAGTCCGTAACTCCCTGGTGCTCTGCGGTGGGTGGGAACACCTAGCCAGCGCAATTCAATCAGGCTGTGGCTGACAGGGAGGGAAGCTGGGCCTCCTATGTAAGCTTGCATATATAAGGAACAGAGAATATAGGAAAAGGCAGCAACAAGAAAGGCTCCTCGGCCCCCAATTCTGAGAAACAGGCAATAGCGGACACCGCACCAATAGACATAAAGCGCCATATAGAGAGCCTCATAGACCAATTCAGGAATGAAGTTATCAATGACCTGAAGCTAGAAGTATGCAGAATAGTTAGAGAAATGCAAGCACCACCCAAGAAAAAAACAGATGGTGGAATGGAAGAACAGAAAAAGAGGGGAGAATTGTTTGATGGAGAAAACAGAGAAAGCATAGAATACGTGAAGCAGGTTCAAAGGGACTACCAAGATACTAAGAAGTCTATCGAAGACTGGCATAACAGCTTGAAA